AAAAACTTTAACCTAAGCCATAACTTTTGAACGGTTGGTGCTAGGGCTTTCATACTTCGAATTCACATGTGTAATCCTTGTGACAAGACCTTCCTTTGGAAATCAACAACTTTGACCCTTTGACCTTGACCCTGGAGTTTGACCTACTTTTGGAAAAAACATTGGCCATAACTTTTGAACGGTTGGACTAGGGCTTTCATACTTCACATATGTAATCCTTGTGAGAAGTCCTTTCTTTGGATACCAACAACTTTGACCCTTTGACCTTGACCCTGGAGTTTGACCTGCTTTTGGAAAACTTCAACCTTGATAATAACTTTTGAATGATTGGTGCTTCGGCTTTCATGTCACCTGTGTATTTCTTGGGAGAAGGCCTTTCCTTGGGCACCATTAATTTTGATCATTTGACCTTGATGTTTGACATACTTTTGAAAAAACTTTAACATTTTCCATATCTATTCAATGGTTGGTACTAGGGCTTTCATATTTCACAGGTTTATTCCTCGAGACAAGACCTTACTTTGGGTACCAACATATTTGATTTGCATTTGAGAAAGTTTAACCTTTGCTATAAGTTGCCAAACGGGGGCATCAGTGTTTCACAAACACATCTTGTTTTTTTTTCATTCTTCTGTTTGTTACTATAAACATAGAACATAGAAAATATGCATTTGTATTTCAAGCTCTGATTACGGTAATGTTTTGTGATGGAGAAATAATAATTTGAGATAGCCATCCTTTACAAAATATTTATAGTTATGCATAAATTTAAATTATACTACTGTAACATATTAAGAATAACAAAGGTTTTATAAGATTAAATTTGTGAATAATAAAGGTTTATACGTATGATAGATGATAAATCAAATTGTATTGTGAAGGCGAGTTTCTTCGTTTTCGCCGCGTATCCCTCCCTTTCGTTGCTGTTTTACCGTGTTAACATATTTTACGGATTTTCTATTGATGGCATTTCAAACATATATTTAGTATCCAACCTCATATCCACAAAATCAGTGAGTTGGTGGTCCATAACGAATAAAATCTACATTGCAGTTTTTATCGCTTATTTCTAAGTAAGATTAACGTAAACGTGTATAAAAGGAAGTATAAGCCATACCCCCTCCCCCCCTCCACCCTTTCAAACACTGTAACACGATGCTACGTGCTTGAAATCTTCAGCATGTCATAAATTACATATAGGCATATAGGCCTGATCATGCCAATTTTCTTCCCTTGTTTTTTGGTAAATGTTGATGGATAATAAGCATAGCATCTTTTATTTCGGTCTAAGACGTTTTTCATTAGGTAGATCATCGTTGTACTTGTACAACACTCGACAAACTGTAACAGGTTCGTACATATAGTACGAAAGGGGATGGGGTTCCATTTGTGTTGAGAATTCTTGGAGTTAATTTTGAATGGAACTGGCTATCTCAAACAGTACTGTATATGAACGTAGTACTGGGAGGAGGAGCAGTCCCAAACTTCTTTTTACTTGTCAGTTTTTTTTAGTCAAATATACCTATATTTTTCCCTTTTAAAAACGATACTACATACCTGCTGTACGTAGTGAAGTAATGACAAGAAAATGCAGGCCCGTAGCAATGGTTTCAAAGGTGTGTGTTGGGGGGGGGGGGGCAACTTCCAAAACAATCTGACAAGCAAAAAAAAAACAAACAAACAAACAAACAAAAACAAAAAAACAACAAAAACCCAAAAAGTGTGTGTTTTGGTTTCTTTTTTTTTTTTGTAGCTTGTCAGATTATTTTGGAAGTTGTCCCCAACTTCCAAAATAATCTGACAAGCCAAAAAAAACAAAAACAAAAAACAAGAGGCCCAAGGGCCTTAACGGTCACCTGAGTACAACAATTTAGAGGATCCATAAACTGATAAATGAAGCTTTAATTGTTGCCCAATAGCAAGAAAATTAGTACGATTAAGATTAAGATCAACAAAATAATTGGTTTAGTATCTTTCTACTGTCCCCCATTCATCACTATTACCATGCAGACTTTTAACAAAATGTCTATATCATTATCTCTCACATTGGCCTCACTTGGTCTTTGAAGAACATTTAAGAAGATAAGTTATTTTTGTTTCATTTTTATTCATCTATTATTTCCAAGTCTACCTGATTATTAAAACTATGGAAGTACTTTTTATATTATACAATAAATGTTCTTGCATAATTCTCTTATACTATTAACCTTTCAAATACATTATCTACAGTGATTAATTATCAAAAGTGAATGGCAAAGGGGAATAACTTCACTCAATAGAATACAAATAAATAGAGCCCTGGCCAGGACCAGAACACTTGAATAAATGGTCCAGATGTTGAAAATTTATAAATTTGGAAGAGGTACCCTCATCATCATAACTATGCAATTAGTTGAAGATTTTTAAAGAATTCACACATTTTCACTATATTATCAAATAGAGCCCCCCCCCCCTTTAGAGAAACAACAGAACCCCTGGGACCAAAAGTTTTAAAATTTTGTAAAAGCATCCTTGCTCATCATAACTATACACTTGTTTCTTTGCTTTATAACCAGGAGTAGAAAAAATATTTTGAAAGATATTAAGAAGCACTTTTGCTCATCATAACTATGTACTTAGTTACTTTATTTAATACCCAGGAGCAGAGAAGAAGATTTTCAAAGAATTATCAAATAATGTAATTATTTCAATAGAGCCCCTCCCTAACACCAGAACCCCTGACCCAGGAGCCATGAATTTCACAATTTTGGAAGAGGCAGTCTTGCTCTACATAACTATGTACTTAGTTAGTTTATCTAATACCTAGGAGCAGAGAAGAAGATTTTCAAAGAAATAATGCACTTTCACTATATGATCTATATAGCCCCACCCTAGCACCAGAACCCCTGACCCTGGGGCCATGAATTTCACAATTTTGGTAGAGGGCTCAATGCTTATTACAATCATACCAACAGTTTGACTACTTGATGTCCAGGAGTAAAGAAGATGATTTTTAAAGATTGCATTAATTTTGGTGGTTTTAGCCCCACCACTCAGGCCCCAGGGGGGCAGGGACCATGAAATTCACAATTTTTGTCCCCCTTCACCCATAGATGCTATATGCCAAAATTGGTTGAAATTGGTTGAGCGGTTTCAGAGAAGAAGCTGAAAATGTTTAAATGTTAACGCACGACGGACGACGACGAACAAAAACGGATAGCAATAGGTCACCTGAGTGACTCAGGTGACCTAAAAAAAAAAGAAGAAAAAAACACACACACACACACACAAATTAACTGTTCAAATCCTTGAAATTGACCCTTCAGCAACAAAATGTGAGGGGGCCAAACAGCATCTAAAGGATTTACTATAGCAGAGTACTATACTAAGAAAAATGTGGGGGGAGGGGCTCCCCCCCCCCCCCCCCCCCCGCGTTCTACGGGCCTGAAATCTGAAATGTAACACAGATGAACAGACCATCGGATATTACAAAAATACATGAATATAGACTAGGGATGGCAATCGATTACAGAATTGCTAATCGGTTAACCGCAAGACGTTCCGACCGATTAATCGGTTAATCGTAATATTATACACATTTTTTGACATTCTATTTTTTCAAGTAGCTCTTTCATATACACAAGAAGACTGATATAAAGACGCTAGAAGTTAGGAATATTCTGTTTATTATCTCGATCAGGAAACTTAATATGTACCTATCTTTTATTTCAATTTCAATAGACAAGAAAAATTATAAGAAAAACATGAATTTTGCCTGAGAAAACAGACGCAGATAATTTTCCAGTGCACACACAAGTTCAATCTGCATTGACACCATAATCACAACTATGCCTGAACTTTCACTGTCCAATCTTTTTCTAATACTATAATTTAAAAGATAACGGCAAAAGAAAGGCAAACTAATTAGCTCTACGTTGTTTTATTGAATATCATTAAAGGATTACAGGATAGTCTGGTTGAACGATTTGATGTTTTTAAAATCAGTAATTAACTCACCACAAACTGACCAATTAGCCGCCATCTCAATCCAGAAAGCCATAATTACCTCCTGACAAGCTTAATTATTAGGTGTGTAAAAACCGTAAATGATCAACTCTTATGTGTTGAAGTTTCCTTTCTAAAAATGAATTTTAAGAAAATTGCGTTCAAATTTGAATATATTTTATTTTTTTCCGATTAACCGATTAGGATTTTCTAACCGATTACCATCGTTCCGACCGATTAATCGATTAACCGGTTACAAATTGCCATCCCTAATATAGACCAACATTCTTTAGAAAAGTGTGAATGCCTCAGTTTAGCAACAATGCCAACTGGGTTGATTTATACGCAATCAAAATAGCTTGTTTTATCTATTTCAATGCACCTTTTAATTCATGTTGCTTTGACAATAAATGTTACCATTGTATGCAAGAAAGTACAATTTTATCTCAATACACGTCCCATTTGTTTTGATAAGTGTAAAGGGTACAAAGTTTTGATATAATTTTGACAATTTCTTATCAAAAGACTCATTTTTTTAAACCTAGATAACCAGTGAGGAAGAGAAATGCCACGGACCAGACCAGGATTCGAACCCGGGCCCCCAGAATCACTAGTCAGGTGCTTTACCAACTGAGTGATCTCTGGCCACCAGCAATCGAACCTGTCTGACCGCCACATTCCTCCCTCCTTAAAGGTACCCCCCCCCCCAAGACACATGCACCAACCCAGGCTCTTCCCTGACAGGTCTTTTACCTGTTATTTCTGGGGCATGGTCACGACACCAAATGTAACAGCAAGGGAGAAAAATGCAATGGACTAGACCAGATTCAAACCGGGTCCCCTGAATCTCTAGTCAAATGCTCTACCAACTTAACTATCTGGTCACCTGCAATCGACTCCGCCTGACCACCGAACAATACAACGAAAATGGAAAGATATACACTAGTAGTGCATCTCATATGAAACAGTGCATTAATTCCCCAAGATTGTGAACAAAAGTAGTGGTATAGGTGAAATAAAGGTAAATAAAGTATATCATTTATTAGTCATTCTTGATTGAAAACATTTCACCTTTCACTGAAAATCGCATATGAAATGGTTGTGATTTACAAACCATCAATTCTGGTTTAGCTATATATTGTAGAGGATAATACTTAATAGTCTGATACAAATGATTTATATTGGGAGTAGAAACAGGGTCCTTTTGATAAGTGCTTCCTAAAAGGTTATATATGTTTTCTAAATTAAATAAATTACTTTGTTTTGCTGTGTTAAATTTAGTTATGTGAAACACATGCTTTGAGTTGCCCTTCTGTGTTTCACTAGTCTCTACAGTAGCTTGTCCTGTATTGTCAGTTTTTACACTCAACACAACACTTTTTGGGACTTTTCCTGGGTCTGTTCTTGAAGTCTGTTTTAAATTTGAATTTCCTTCTACTTTTGAATTAACATTTTCACTATTAATTTCTTCACTGATATTTACATTAATCAGCTGTTCAACACCTTTCTCATTCAGAGACTCTCCTGAAGATGAATCTGTACTTTCATCAAGTCTCACATTTTCATATTTTGAAGCAGCAGGTGGTGTCTGTGCTTCAGTTGGGGCCACTTGTGAGATGGGAGTTGGTGGTTCTGGTTTCATATCATTATTAGGTAAATTTTCTCTCCCTTTATTTTGTTCTGTGTTTGAGACTGGTTCTAATTTTTCTGTATTCTCAAGCTGTGTTTCTGGTTTTAATATTTCTAATTTCTCTTCCATTTCGGTGGATTTTCTCATATCCACTATTGTTTCATCCTCATTGCTAATATCTTTTGAATCCTTCAAACTTGAATCTAGTTTGGTCATCTGGGATTTGAGTAACTCTAAACTGGCTCCCAATTTTGAAAGGCTGGAATCAGGATCAGCACCTTCTGCATTCTTAAGATAACTGGTCAAAATTTCCATCACAGAATTCTCAAATCCTTTCCCTGAAGAAGAGTTTTCTGAACTCTGAGCCTCAGTTTGATAAAACTTGTCACCATGTAAATCTTGGGTAAAAGATTTCAGCTTTTTCCCTTTGAGTCTACTGTCCTCATCTTCAATATTAAACAGAGATAGTAAATCCAGACTATCATGCATCCTTTCTAGGACAACATCATCTTCCTTCTTCTGGCTGCTACAACAGTACACTGAAGCTGCATCTATAGGATGTGCTTCTGAAGTAAAGAAATATCCTCCAGCATCAACTACACATTCACCATTTGGGGTGTGTATAACCGTGCCATGACTACCATTGTTGTGGATAAAATTATCTGGATCAAACAGTAGGTATAGATATTTTGTTGTCTCTGCCAAAAAGAAACTTTCCATTCTGTTGTCAAGTTGATGAGTATTAACATTTTTCACCTGAAAAAAATTGTTGAGTTTGAAAAATCTGTATAAGCTACTAGGAAATAAACTTGGCTACAATAAAAAGCATACTAGTAATTTGTTTGTTATTATCAATTCTACACTATGTACATGTATGTGAAGAACTCTAGTTCTTGAAATCTCTCTTATTCCTTACTGTTTACTGAAGGAAGAGAATGTGAAAAAGCTTTAACTTTCAATTCAGAATTTTCTCTGATATCTTAAAAGCAAGTACAGTACAGTAAGTGTAGTTCAATGTGTATGTGTATACTTAGAATAAATATAAGAGCATTAGGGTTCTAGAATGCTCTCATTCTGTACTGATCCACAGAGGTATAATCTATTAAATCAGTCATGAATTATTGTATATCATACCATGATTGTGTAGTCATGATTATTGTATATCCTACCATGAATATGGAGATTGACATTAAGGTATTCCATCCCTAATAGCCTCAGATTCAATGAATTTGAATATGTAACAGATGTGTACATGTGGAATACGCAGTATATTTAGGCATAATTCCCATTTATTACTATTAACATGTAAGAATGGAACATGTCCTAATTTATGACCTTGACCTTTGTTGAAGAGTTATCTCCCTCTTTTTTAAAAGTAATAAAAATCAATTTTTAAAAATCTATACGGTAAAAAAATTGTTTTCAATTGTCATTCTATTTCTAATGATTTAATGCATCTTTCCACCGAAGTATTTATTGATATTATTATTATTTGAATTTTTATTTTAAAAAAATCGCTTGTCTCCATAGACTTCAATGCAATTTCTGTTTACTGTATAAGGGATTTATTTCACGGGCTGTAAATTTCACGTTTTTCTCTCCTCTGACATAATCGCGGGTTGATGAAATCGTGGAATTGGTGTAAAATAAAATTACCTCCCTTGGCTGTAGAACGACATTCATCATCGCTATGTTTTAACTTCATAAACAATACTCGGGGAGGTTTAAATAAAGTAGTTAGATTTGGTAATTAATTTACAATTAAACAAAACAGGTGCCGTTAAACGTCTTTGACTATAAACGTCGAATGACTTTCCTTATGCTATTACGATGAGTGCATGTACACCCGAAGATTTTCTTTCCGAAGGAATGGCATATCGCAACAAAAACCACTCGATGATAATAATTGTGTTAATGTACGTCGACGAAATAATATCCTTCCACATTTACAGTAAGTCCAAGAGTTATTTGAATAAATGTTTTTGAACCAAAATCTCAGGGAAAAAACTAATACTCGGGGTAATGTTAGTTACGCACGGGTAATAAGTAATCAAATCCATGATTGCTTTGATTGATCAAACATGAAGCGTTGGCTATTAAAACAGCTTTTCAACAATAAATACAGGTCATTATCTGCTGATTTAAGTTAAGTAAAGCGTAATAATAAAAGTAATTGAATGACAAGTACCACTCGTAATTACTGAATGACTACTGTACGTAAGTATACCTATCGTAGTCTATACTCACATTTCCAAAAAAAGTTTATTGAAAACTTATTCACCGTTTCTTGAATTCCCGGATTTATCAACACCGTGAATATAGCGAATATTTACACCGCGAGTTATTTTCTCCCTATACAGTAATTGATGGATATTTAAGGATAGAGAATTAGGTCCTATTAGGGATGGAAAACCTTAAGGACAACATTTAATTTCATAGATTTTGATTGTAACATGTTTTGAAATATAAACAGCAGTTTTCTTACAGTTGCATATCCACACTTGGTTTTGGTGCTGTGTTCTATGGCCTCCAACATGTCTATACCTATCTCCAATAAGTAAGGGTCTCTGGTGGCCTGGTACAGATATACAGCACTCTCTATCAGTTCTACAGAAAATATCATATTATCAGCTGACAGAATTCAAGGTTAATTCTTTTTCATGCATGTGTTAATTCCTATTTTGGCAAATTTCGAACAATTAATAATCAAAAAAATTAAAAGAATTTTTTTTTAAGAATTAAGACACAACTTTTCTGGTTGTTTTTGTCCAAAGGTATTTTATCTCCATAAGCAAATTGTTCAAGTGCAGCTTTGACAAACTTATTCAGGCACACATAAATGTTCAGTCTGATTAAAATAAATCCTCTCTTCCTTTAGTAATTAACAGTAAATATTGAGATTACCTGGTCTAAGTGGGTACCCCTCTCTCCCTGTGTGAGCCTCACTCTTCGGAATGTTATAGTACTCAGGCAGAAAACCAAACTGCCTCCAGACTTGGTGGAAGTTATGAATTGTTTTCATGGCACTGTCTATATCACCCAACAAGCTCTGTTAAATCAACAAAACTAAAAAGTCAGCTTTATGTTTCCTTACTTCTTTCTTTAAATTTTGTGTAATATTAAATAAAATTACATTACAAAACATTAATCTGTGCATAATTAGAATCACTTTTTTTTTTTTTTTTGGTCGGACCATTTGTAGAAGTGTGATTGCTTGTTTCAATTACCTGAATTCCTGGCCAGTAAGCATCTAATGAGGTAAACATAGGCAGAGTTATCCCTCCTTTGGTCATATGTGCCCACATATACCAGTCATCTCTTTTTACATGTTTTACAATTGCTTTCTCATAAACTGAAACAACAAAATATTAAACCCTTAAAATTATCATATGGCATCATTACAGTCTCCTATAGCTTAAATATGTATTTTTCTGTCAGTTATAAGGCCATTCCAAGTTTTTTCTCTGTTTAGTGTCCACCCATTTTTCAAAAACCTACCTACCTATTCGCTAAAAACACACAAGACAAAAAATAAAACACAGACTTGATAATCATAAAAATGACGTCATTCAAGGGATTTATTTCATTAATTTATTTTCCTTACAGGAAAATCTATTCTTCAACAAAATCAATGTATTAAATGCTTAAAATATACCTAATATGACATATTCTAGAAAAATATTTAGAGAAATTGAGAGAATTCAAAGATTTCGACGAGAAAAATCAATTTTAGGACTCCTGATTTTGTTTTTGTTTTTCTGATATGGAGTGTCAAAAACCAAAGCGCACGCGGACGCTAAACATAAACAAGAGGCCCATGGGCCACATCGCTCACCTGAGTAACTTTGGCCATGCTGTTCTTTACCAGATTCCCCCCCCATGTAATACCTATTGTGGCCCCGCCCTACCCCCGGGGGTCATGATTTTAACAATTTAGAATCTACACTACCCCAGGATGCTTCCACATAAGTTTCAGCTTTTCTGTCTCAGTGGTTCTTGAGAAAAAGATTTTTAAAGATTTTTCCTATATATTTCAATGTAAAACTTGGATTCCCTATTGTGGCCCCGCCCTACCCCTGGGGGTCAAGATTTTAACAATTTAGAATCTACACTACTTGAGGATGCTCCCACTTAAGTTTCAGCTTTTCTGGTCCAGTGGTTCTTGAGGAGAAGATTTTTAAAGATTTTTCCTATATATTTCAATGTAAAACTTGGAGTCCCTATTGTGGCCCCGCCCTACCCCTGGGGTCCTGATTTGAATAATTTAGAATCTTTACTACCCCAGGATGCTTCCACGTAAGTTTCAGCTTTTCTGGCCCAGTGGTTCTTGAGGAGAAGATTTTTAAAGATTTTTCTTATATATTTCAATGTAAAACTTGGATTACC